CCGGGGCGGGGGCTGGCAGCTCCCCAAAGGGCTCGGGAGAGCTGGGCATAGTGAAAGTGGACGGCACGGGGCTGGGCTGGGGGACTGCTGGGCGAGCCTTGGGGGCTTTGGTCCGCTTGTCCACAGGCTCTGGGGGGCTCTTCTTGGAACTTGGGGTGCTGACGGGCTCCAGGGCCAGCGGGGCACTGGGAACCTCCTCTGCTGGGCCCCCCTCCTCCAGGGCAGCAGCTCTGTCTGGAAGAGAGAGGAGGCGGCACAGGTGAGGCAGGCCGGCCTCGCAGCCTGAGAGCCCTGCCACCCCGCTCTGCCGGCTCCCGAGCTCGGCCTGTGCCTGGCCCCCTCTCTGGGCCTGACCCACAGCATGGCCCCAAGTGTCCCGGAGCCTTGGCTCAGCCTGAAGCCCTTTCCTGCAGGCTCTGGAGCACTCACACCTGGAGGACACACACCTGGAGGACTCACACCTGGAGCACTCACACCTGGAGGACTCACACCTGGAGCACTCACGCCTGGAGCACTCACAACTGGAGGACACACACCTGGAGCACTCACGCCTGGAGCACTCACACCTGGAGGACACACGCCTGGAGGACACACACCTGGAGGACTCACACCCGGAGGACTCACACCTGGAGCACTCACACCCGGAGCACTCACACCTGGAGGACACACGCCTGGAGGACACACGCCTGGAGGACACACACCTGGAGGACTCACACCTGGAGGACACACACCTGGAGCACTCACACCTGGAGCACACACACCTGGAGCACACACACCTGGAGCACTCACACCTGGAGCACTCACCTGGCTCTACCTCTGACATGAACATCCTCCTGAGCTGCTCCCTAGCGGTGGAGGTGGGGTCTCTGTGCAGAGCCCCATGTGCAGTCCCCACACGCCGTTGCCAACTTACCACCCTTGGCTTTGGTGCTGGGTTTCCGTCCGCGCCCTCGCGCCTTGGTACCTGGCTCCTCTGACCCCGGCGCACCCCCGTCTTTGCCATCCCCGGTGTCTTTGCTGGTTTTCCGGCTGCGGCGCTTAGCGCTGGGCACCAGTAGGGCCGGGGATGGCTCGGCGCCTGCAGGCAGGACAGACGGGGGTCAGGCTTGGCCTCCGGAGTGACGTCAGCCAGGAGAGCAGGGACGGGAGGAGGTGACGACACCATGGAGCAGACCCCCCGGGTCAGGAGGGAGGCCCATCTGCAGCGACAGCTCAGGTGTCTGCACACGAGCTCAGTGGGGCCCGTGCCGAATGGACCGGGACTCCTGTGGTTCCGATGACCCACTTGGAGGCGCTCCAAACCCGAGGTCCAGGGCCCCGCCAGTGGGGCGGCGCTGATCGGGCCCTGGCCAGCCCTGCCCAGCCGCGGGGCCCTGAGGAGGCATCCCCCCTCCCTGAGCCCGCGTTTCCTGCGGTGAGGCCATGGGGACGGCACCCCCTCACACAGACTGAGGCAGGAGCAGTTACTGACCGGCCTCCCACGGCCTGGCCTCCTGGCTTGTGCTGCCCTCATGGGCCTCAGGACAGAAGCTGGGGGACCCTGGGATCCCCTCTCTGGAGCCCATCCTGGGAGCCCCCACCCACAGTTTCTGCCATTTCCATCCCCTGTGAGTGCAAATGGTCCAAATGGCAGAGCCCGAGCTAGGCTTGGGGGGGCGGTGGAGGCAGCGGGCAAGGGCCTGGGGGTCAGCCAGGAGAGGGCCTGGGGGCCAGTGGGAGAGGGCCTGGGGGCCAGCCAGGAGAGGGCCTGGGGGCCAGTGGGAGAGAGCCTGGGGGCCAGTGGGAGGGCCTGGGGGGCAGTGGGAGAGGGCCTGGGGGCCAGCCAGGAG